ATCCTTCTCATCTTCGAACTCGACCGAGATATTCTAAAGACTGAATTATGTAGAAAGTTTCATCGCAATCTGACTCTCCTTTCAAAAGTTATCGTCTTAACGGCCGGCCGGACATACTGACCGATTATAGTAGTGTACTCACTTTTTGAGTACACTAATAAAATGATGCTCGATTAATTTGTCAGAAACAACTGATGTCTTCAAAAAAATAATAATGTACAGGCAGCAGATCGAGACATACCGTAAATATCATTTAGTATTATATTCTCTCTTGAAGGTCGCTTTGGCATCGGTACATTTAGTGGTACAAAGTTTCTCATTTAATAACAATCATTTCATGAAGAAGATCCTAGAAGTATATTGTTCAAAATAATCACTATGTGATTAAGGCGATAAGAATTGATGATAGTTGCTTTTTAGTTTGAATCAATCGAATTAGTAATCATTGGTAGAGCGTTTTTGGATAAATGAAAAGGTCGAATCAAAATCTAGACTGGTACCGATTCCGTCTATGATACTGTTATATGTAACATTTCGGCAAATATTGGCTTGTTCTGTACCAGAGATGTCCATCGCGGCGCGGCGGCGGCAGCTTTTTTTAGGAAAAAAATTTTAAAATTCATAAATTTGTACAGAATCTGCGTGTTTACGTATGCTGTACTGTAGGACTTAACGAATCTGATCGATTAGCGGCATCAGTTCTATTTCAAACCAGTCACAGCCTTGAAAATCAAAACATTTTTTCGAATACCATCGCGGCGGCGGCGGCGGCGCGGCAAGTTTTTTTAAAGGCGCATCGCGGCAGCAGCGCGGTAGCTTTTTTTAACAGACCATCGCGTCGTTGGAGCGGCGCGGTAGCTTTGTTTGGTTTTGGCCGCGGCAGATTTTGAGCCGCGATGGACATCTCTGTTCTGTACTAAAAATTTAATCAAAGCTAACTAGCTTTAAACTATATTTGATGATGATGGTTACATTAATGGTCAAAATATGATTTTAAACGGGTATATAAGTAAGAAATCAACAACGCATATACTATGGATAACAAATTAATGAAAGACTGAATCAATAGACATTGTCTTCTGTCTTAGAATTTGCTGTATGACTCCTCTAGATGAAAGATCAACAAAATAGTGTAAAGTCACTTTTCCCGAAAATCTAAAATATAGCAAAATTTGAAATAACTAAAAAAAAAAAGATAATTCAGAATTGAACTAAATCCATTAAAAGAGACAATTGATTTTATAATTAGTGTTATCACGTGACTGTGCAATGGAACAATATATTATCAATGAAAGACTTTCGAAAATCTATTTCTTCTTAGCATAAAGTTGAAATATAGTTTAACTAGTTTTTAAAAAAAGTAGAAAATCATTTATATAAACATAGAAAACCTACCTGGACAGGACTTTCCACAATCTGTTGTAATATATTTCCTATAATTTTCTTCAACATCGATTACATCTGAAAAACCATCTATACAATAGCATTTATTCATATGTAGAAGACTGATATCTGCAAATAAGTGATCGCAAGTAGACATGCATAATTTATGTGTTAAATAATTTGATATTAAAGCAGGTACACCAAGTGTTAGTGGTTTATGAAAACAAATTTGTCGAAATTTCTCATCAATAATTGCCTTCTTTTTACATAAAACATGTTTCGATTGAGAACAATTCTTATTTTGATTTGTTGTTGAAATAAAAATTCTTTCTTCTTCATCAATTTTTCTACGTGTCACAACTAAACAAGATCTATTATTGACAGTTGAATTATTATTATTATTGTTTGAAATAATGATTTGAAATTCATTTATTGACGAATGATTGACTTCAACATTAGAAGATAATGATGATAGTTCAGATTTCATTTTGTTCGCATCTAAGAAGAAATCATTTTAATTAACAATAATTAAAATTTTTCAAAGTAATATTCAAAAATATCGTCGCATAACTTATGATTATAAAACATTCACTATTCTTATTTTATGGAATATACAAATCTTTTCAAAGAAAATTAGTGAATGTAAATTTTAGCAGCGAGTTTCTTTAGTTCTTCGCTTCTGTTGCAAGTAGATCTACACGTCTAAATTGCAACTCTTAACGATCAAGATTATATAATGAATATTCGTGATAAGACTAGTTTTGTGATTTGAACGAATGTTCATAATGACAAATGTGTTCAATTGAAAAAAAACAATATACGAAAATGATAAAATAAAATAAAAGTGAAAATAGGATGTCCACTAAAAAAAAATAAGATATAAAAAAGATCATCGTGTTCTCTCTAACTCATATACCATTTGTATACTATCAACAAATATGTACGATACAAATCGTTCATAGATACTATATTATCTTACGGCTATCTATTACGTAATTATACAACAAAATTGATGAATAAGATTCAGTTGGCTAGAAATCAAAGTCATACTTAGATCAAATCACATGTCTATTCTGCAGAAACAAAATTCTCTTAAGTTGTTTTTTTTTGCACATGCTTTTATAGTACAATACATAACAAGAGAGAATAATGAAGCGTTTATTTTAAAATAGTTTTTATTCGTTGACTATTTTCTATCCAATTATATCTCATAAATAAAAAACTAATAAGAAGTCCAGAATACATTAGTTAGTGATGAGAGTCTTCAATTTTTCTATACCATATGAATCAATGCAACGAAACACTGATGAATAATCAAATGATGTTTTTGTATTAACTAATAACATTAGTAATTTCTATGCTCAACAAAAAAAAAAAGCAAATGAAATAATCTTAAATAGAATGTTCGATAACATAAAATATAGCTTATTAAAATCGAATACAGATTGATTTTCTTTCTAAAATGAATAAATTCTAGTTCATTCTCAAAAAATATATTAACTAGAGCTCTGCATATTACTCAGAAAAAAACATTGCACTTCGATCGGATTATGGAATAGCTGCTCCAAAAATGGGACATTAAAAGGAAAAACTATAAAAACAAAAAACATTAATTAGTAGTGTTCGTGTTAATTTACTTGTATCAAGAAGAAAAAAGCCAAGACGAACTTCCCATGGTAACATATATTGTGCAATTTCTCCATCAAGAGTACTAATAAAAGGATTTTTGTGTTTGATAATTGTTTTCTTCTTATCATCAAGATTAATATTTGTATAATTCGTATTATTAGGCATCATTACAAATGCACTAAAATTTTTTTCGATTAATGACTCAATAATGCAAGTATCCATTGCTTCTTGAATAGTCTCAGGTTCATTAGAAATATAATAGCAGTCAGCATTTATATTCAACCAGTTCACTGGACAATTAAACTTATTTTTATTCGTAAAGATTAAATGAGCTGGATACCGTTTAAGATCATTAAATAATAAATTATTATTAACAGAATTAGTCATACATAAATGAGTCGATAATAAATGTGAATTAGAACGAATACGTAAACAATTATTATCTAATATGTATGATGTACTAGAATTATTGTTAGAATCATTTGAATTAATAGTATTATTATTATTTGTTGAACATAACCATGAAGAATCAATAGTAAAATTATCATTGAAATCTATGGAAAGAATAGTTTTTGTTAAGTTTAATTTTCTAATAGCTTTTAAAAAAATATTCCATGTTGGTTTTCCATTATAAATATAATTCATTGAAGGAAATGGACAAGAATTAAATATTCCTTTATTTATTGATATACATTTTTCTAATTCTTTTATATAAATTGAACCAACTGGACATATAGAATTTAAATTATAAATAGACCATATACGTGAATCATTTAAAGAACCACATGAAAATTTTTCTTGAATATTTGAATTTATTAATATATTATCACAATAACGATCACAATTATCTTTGGATAAAAATTTTATATGATGAATATTATCAAAATTTAGATTTAATTCATGTGATGTTATACATAAACATTGATTATTATCATCGTTGAAAGCTAGAAAAAAAAATTTGAGATTTAGCTATTGAATAAGTTTTCTTGACATCTTTATACAGATTATAATTTAGAATACAATAAAATTTTTGATTATCTATAAAGATTGAATATTCTTGCCATCCTCTCTAATACAACATTAAAGAAAGATTATTACTAAATATCAGATTTGATTATATCTTCTTTCTCCTTTCAAATCGAATAAGTGAAGAAAAACATCTTCATGAAATTAATCAATATTACGAGATTTTTTTTCAATAGTAGGTTCCTCTTAGAAAAATAGTCTCAAAAGAAAATTGTTTAGTTTTGAGAATAGCCTATTAGTTAAGCAATATTAGCATTTACTAATTATGACAAACATATCAGATGTTCGTCATCGATCTAATGATTTGACAATCCAAACAAGGTAACTTTTGTTATTCAAAAGTTATTTCAGATGTTGAAGTCGACGTATAAATCGAAAAACATTGCAACTATATAGTATTCTCAATTTAAGAAAATAAAACATAATAAAAATATGATTAAATAAATACGGAAATCTCGAATTTATATCCGAGATTATGTGTACTGAAGAAAAGTGAATGACCAGATCCGGTCATCCGACGAATGTCTGAATATAAAAATTTGCCTCGCAAACCTTTTCTATAAATCTTTTAATTCTATTGCCTACTGATCATCTAATAGGATTTGGAAGCGTATAGATCTCAGATTTGAACTCTTCGACCTAACACTTTGTCTCAGAAAGTCGTTTTTCCTATAAACTGATTTCTATTGGTCAATGATCAACCAATGGGCCGTCGAGGTCAGTG